GGACACGCATTTTTTAATATCTCTTCAGGAAGGTTATACTTCTGTGCATTCCCTGCTTGTGTCTTTGTTCATTAAAAAGAAGAGTCAGGTGAGCATTTCTCTTACTGATTTGCAAAGCCTCTTTATATATTATAGATACCATACCTTTGTCATAAATCATGGGAATATTCTTCCCAGTTTATCTTTTAAAATTTTATTATGTTTTATTTTTAGGTGAACAGAAGTTAGAAGTTTCATATAGTCAAATCTGCCAGTATTTTTATTTTACAGATTTGGTTTTGGTGCTCTGTTTAAAAAGGCATTCCTACTCAAAGCAGATAATTTTCTCTTGAATTTTACACTTGATCTTAGCCAAAAGGCTGAGAAGCGAATTTTTTTGGTGCTAGGGATCAAACTCAGGACCATGCACTTGTGAGGCAGGCACAATGCCATTGAGCTAAATCCCGGCCCCTCTTGAATTTTATTCTAGTTCTTTCAAAATTTGACCTTGTTGTTTTTCTTTCTCTTCTTCATCTTTTTAATACATAGCCTTATTCTTTCAGGTATATAGGTAGTGAATAAATAATCTAACTCTAATAAATTAAATAATATTTAAGATTTTCTGTAGAATTCCATATTTCACCCATTAATATGAAGCATTATCTTCATCCGGTATCGTTATAGGCATCTCTATCTATAGTGGGGTCTGTTTATGGGACATCTAAGTCTGCTATATTTATGTCTACTATATAGGTGATATATGTTGAGTACTTACAGTGTTTCCAGTTTTTTATAAAAATCTTTCTATATATTACTTCAATTAGTCCTCACATCAACTGTGCTGAGACAAATTTGCCTTGAAATTAATGAAGCTAAAGCTCAGGGACTTTCACTTGTACAAACCTCCTCTAAGGCCCTGGGAAGGGGCCTTAGCAATATCCTCAAACAATGTAAAACTGGCAAAGTAAGATATTTTAAAGCAGTTGGTTGAGACTGCTGTTTCTGACAAGTCTTCCATGATGATTTCCCTGCCATTACTGTGGCCTCTGGCATGAAGGAGAAGTTGAGTTGGGCATATGCTGAGTTAGGTTTAAGAGGAATTTTTTTTTTGGTACTGGGGGTTGAACTTGGGACCTTGTGCTTGCAAGGCAGGCAGCCCAACCACTTGGAGGAATTCTTGTGCTAGTGATGTTATAGTCAGAGTTTTCAGGAATATTCCTACCACCTACTGGCCTGAGTTAGCCAGCATCATTGCAGGAAGATACAGGGCCAGCACTTTTATTATAATATAAATAGATCCTCTGGGACTCAACCCTAAAGCACACAAGTGGTAGAGAAAAACAAAGTTAATGATAAAGAGCACCAGAAGCTAGTCTGTGGAAAATTCTTGCAATCCATCAAAGTGTAAATGTATAAATGGAGAACTTGGTTCTTATTAACACTTGGTGAAAAAGAAATCTACTGTCAGGAATATTCTTGATAATTCACTGATTACAATTATGGATAATCACATCCTTTCTGTGAAAAAAATCACACACAATTAAATTCACAGGGACTGCAAACATCTGTTCTAGCTCATACAGAAAAGAAAAGTCAAGAGGGTTTCGTAGATTTCAGAGCCACCCTTAAAAGCTGCATTTTCCAAGGGCTTGGGCATGTTGCTCAGAGGAAGAGTATTTGCCTAGGATGCATGAGGCCCTGGGTTCAATCCCCAGTATTCCCAGGAAGAAGTTCATGAAGCTGAAGAAACTTCTGGAAGCAAGTAATAAAAATATTTTGATTATACTGGAAGAAAATATAATTTCTAGGGCTGGGTATTTAGCTCAGTGGTGCCGCACCTGCCTTGAAAGCACAAGGTTCTAAATTCAATCCTGGTACCAAATAAATAAATAAATAAATAAATGAAAATATAATTTCTAGAAAATGATAGTCCCAAATCATTTTCCCACGAGGAAACAAAGAGTATGAAGCCCAAACTGCAAGGGAAAAGTATTGTAAGACTGGGGGCCTTACCAAACGCTCTGAGGAGCTGACTGTAGTGGAGCACACCCAGGGATCCCAGCGGTGCCTCCAGAATGTAAGACCAAGGGCCCTACCAAACGCTCCGAGGAGCTGACTGCAGCGAAGAACACCTGGGAAGGAACACACCGGACAAGTTGGAAAGTAAAACATACCTTAGTCTGGCCAGACGGCACTCCCAAAGCAAAGTAGCTTAGAGAGGCGTCAGTCCAGAGTCCGAGGCTCCTTTTATAGGGGCTTGCAGGGAAGTTAACAGGCGAAATTTACAGAAGAGGGAACAAAGGTTAGTGGTCTTACATTTGTATGTTAATTAGCCTGACGTGTACTGCTGGTTAGCAGATGTTTTGTAGATTGTTCTATAGATAGCGGCGTGGGGAACATCAGTTTTCGAACAAAGAGTTGAATAATTATGGCTGATACAGATCTTATCTAGTGTCTCAGAACTAACAAGCATCTTTATCTATTTACTCACATTCAATCAGTTGGGGCTAGGGGAGTTTTATGATTACAGAGTTATGCAGTCCCACAGTACTACAGAAGTTCAGGCATAATAAATAATTAACATAATAAATTAATTATTATGTAAATAATTTTACATAATAAAAAAGACCATATATTTGTCGTTATCTGAATTTGTTTTGTTTGTAGTATATTTCAGCTTTTTAAAAAAATGTGTGATTTGTTATGATTTTTTCTCATCGTAAATCCTCTTCTAATTTTTCTAATAGTTTCCAACACTTAAGAAAGTCTGAAAGATTTGTGCAAAAAGGACTATATACCCCAATTTTCTAATTTTACATTCTTTTTCATAAATATCCCTCCCCCATCATAGACGCTTCAGACCCATAAAATCTGGGTCCTTTCCTGACTTTATGACAGTGTGATTTGTATTATAAAATAATAAATGTACAGAGAAGAAAAACAAACCAAGGGCAAAGCTGTACTTTCTCACATAGTTAAGAAGTACTGACCCAGAGAGGTTATAAACTACAATGTTCTATTACATTTTGTATGATCTCAGCTTTACAGCTCTTTTTAATGTTCTTATAATATTCTCTTTTCACTGAACTATACAACTTGAAGAGCTTTCCATACTAATACATATAATGTTATTCAATTCTTTTAATGGCTGTATAATGTTCCATTGTATGAATATACCATAATTTAACCAAGTCTCTCCTAATGGATTCTCCAATAGTTTATTATCAAAACCAAAACAGGAGAAATATTTATGTAGTCATTTCACAATATATATATATTTGGGGGGATGCTGGGAATTAAACCCAGAACTACATCTCCAGACCTTTTTTTTAAATTTTTTGAGACAGGATCTCTCTAAGTTGCTAAATTCCAGGCTGAGTTCAAACTCCCAGTCCTCCTGCCTCACCCTCCCAGAGTGCTGGGATTACAGGCAAGCACCACTACAGTCATCTATTATGTGAATATATTTGAATAGGCTAAATGCCCAAGAGAGAAACTGCTTTGTTAAAGAATATATGGAAATGTCTTTTTTGTTCCTGGGTCAAGCTGTCTACATTTGAGATTATAATTCTCAGTATAATTTCTTTTTATTGAACTATCTTTAAATTAATAAATTTTACTTAGTTGTAGTTAATTACACCTTTAATTAGTGCTAAATTTTACCTGCTGTTACTGTGAGATTTTCATTTTATATTCATATACAGTATGAGACTGGTTGATTGTTTTAAGCTATTAGATTTTGACATTATAGTTAAGATAACTTCAGAATGTGAACTGAAACTTCATCTAAATTCTCAATAGTTTATTTAGCATCTAATCTTTCAACATGTGAAAACATTTCACTCCAGAACTCCTTGGCATAGAACAATTTCCACAAAATATTAAGTGGGGACAAAGCAAGTTTTAGAAAACTATGGGTAATATGATACCATTTTTATTTTATGTTATATTCAAATGTAAGTACACGTATTATAATTTTAGCTCTTACATTTAGGTCTATGATCTATTTTGTTGTTGTTATTGTTGTTTTTAGACAGGGTCTGGCTTTGTAGTTCAGGGTGGCCTTGAACTCAAGACGATACTCCTGCCTCAGCCTCCCGAGAGCTGGGATTATATGCGTGTGACACCACGCCCAGTTTAAATCATTTGTTTTTATCTGTTTTCTATCCTTTTTTGGTCTATGTTTCTGTTTGAACATTTAGATTTGTCTTCCTACATTAATCCTCTGTACTGCTGTGTCCAATTTGCTATTAAGCACAAATTATTTAGTCTTTTTTTTTTTTTGGTACCAGGGATCGAACTCGGGTCCTTGCGCTTGCGCAGCAGGCGGCGAAACCACTCAGCTAAATCCCCGGTCAAGTCATTAATTTTTATGGTACTTCTCAGGTCAAGAATCTCCATTTGACTCTTTTTCACTGATTGCAGTTCTCTGATAAACGTCTTCATCTTCTATCTTCCTCATCACATAAATCACAATTGTTTTGCAGTCTTACCTGATAGAAGAGATTCTGTTGTTCTCTTTCTCAACATAATTTCTCATAATTTAAATTTTCTCTTGACAACGTTGTAGAAGAAATGTTTAGAGTCTGGATGCTAACTGTTCAAACAGATCACTTCGCTGATGTCAAGGATGGTTTTTGTTTTGTGGTACTGGGGATTATTAAACCCAGAGCTTTCACACCAAGATACAGCTCCACCCCTTTTTTTGTATTTTTTGAGACAGGGTCTCGCTTTATTGCTAAATTGTCCAGTCTGGGCTCGAACTTAGTGATTCTCCCGTGTCAGCCTGCCGGAATGCTGAGATTCTAGACTTGTGCCATCACATCTGACAAAGTATGAGTTTCCAGCTCTTTAAATCCTGGCTTTCTCAGCAGCACCAAGCCGCTCCAGGGCCGCCTCCATCGGCTGCGCGCCCCAGCACAGCTGTCCGGCGGGGACGCGCCCTCCTCCCAGAGGTGGAAGGACTCGGGGGCGCGCGGGGCCTGGAAGGAAGAGCCGCGGGCACGCGCGTCCGCCGGAAGCGCTCTCCCGGAAGGTGGGGGGCGGCGCCGCTGCGGCCGGCGATGGCGGCAGCGGGCGGGCCGTAGCGTTCGATACAGGCTGCATCCCGAAGCACAGCGATGGCCTCCCCTCTCGGGCCGACCGCGGCTGGGGAGCCGGCGCCGGGGAGCGAAGCGGAGCCCGGGCCGCCCGTATCGCCGCCGCCGCCACCTCTGCAGCGCGAGCCGCTGTACAACTGGCAGGCGACCAAGGCGTCCCTGAAGGAGCGCTTCGCCTTTCTCTTCAACTCGGAACTGCTGAGCGACGTGCGCTTCGTGCTGGGCAAGGGCCGCGGCGCGGCGGGCGGACCGCAGCGCATCCCCGCGCACCGCTTCGTGCTGGCGGCCGGCAGCGCTGTCTTCGACGCCATGTTCAACGGCGGCATGGCCACCACGTCGGCCGAGATCGAGCTGCCGGACGTGGAGCCCGCCGCCTTCCTGGCGCTGCTCAGGTGGGGACCCGGGCCGCGCCCGCGGCGGTGCCGGGCGTCCTGCGGGACCGGTGCAGGGTGCGCGGAGGTGTCAGGGAAAAGAAAGCAACCGCCCAGACTGAGCGGTGCGGCTTGGCTTGGCTCCGCCTGTCTGTGTGAACGCGTTAGGGGTCCGGTGGGCTCGAGGCTGACGCCCGCCTGGGCTAGAGAATTTGCGTCTTGGTTGTTTGAGGATAACTGATTGACATCTGATTGGCCGAAGCGGAAGGGAGCAATAGTGTGGCACTACTGACTTTTACAAACAGGACCGAGGCCCTTCGCAGTCGAGTAATTTGTCCAGAGTCAACAGCCAACTCCTTGGAGACCATATGTGTTTCATTCTACTCGGAAGGTTTGGCCGCCGAAAAGAATGTGTTGTTTTCAGAGTAGTAACGGTGAAGCACAAGCAGGCAGATCAGGCTCACAGCTCAATTAGGAAGAACAGAAGGAAGTTAAGTACGAAGTTAACACAACTGGAAATAAATGCCACAGGATGCGTTATTAAGAACAAAAAAATATAAAGAATGTTTAACCTCAGTAAATAAGGAAGTGAAATTAAAACAAGGAGGTATTTTCCCCCTTCTAACCCAACAAAAAAATTTTTTCCCGGTGCCGGGGATCGACCAACAAATAATTTTAAAGATAACACCTGGGGGGCATTTTCTGACAAAAATTTTCTCTTTTGGAAAATAGTTTGGTGCTCTGGATTAGGAAGCAATCTAGTATTGAAGAAAAAGTGTTCCGAACAAAAACATTTATGGCAGCATTACTTGTATTTATGAAGAAGGCAGCTCCGTATGTAGGAAAAGGTGAGATAAACAGTAGGTCCACTTGATGGAAAATAATGCTGTCACTAAATATGATACTTAAATGAAGACCAAGTAATGATATGGAAAATGTTTCTGGCAAATAGCATTGGGAATTATGTACACCATGCCAACTGCGAAATGAAACTGAATAAGCATTGTATACTTAGAGACAAGGATAGAAGGAAACACCGGAATGCTGACCCAAGGGCTCTTAGTGTGGTAAGATGGTGGGGGGCCTGTTTTTGCTTCTTTTTTGTGTGCCTTATATTTTCTGTAATTCAATTTAGTTGTCTTTATAGGGAGGGAAAAAACAGCTCAGAAGCTAGGAAATAGGTCATTTTGGTTTTTAGTTGGAGGTTGACTGGGAAGATTGGGTGTAGCTCCTTAGATTTTCAAGATTAGAAATGATCTGTGGGCCAGTGGCATTGTGATTTACAGCGGTGCTCGTCATGTGTGTAGGTCCCATTTCTTTCATTACTGTATCAAATTGCGAGGTGAGACCTTGAAAGCATTTTTTAATGCTCTCTCAGAGTGATACTTACATTGGCTAAATCTGAGAACCACTGATCTAAAAATACTGCTAGGTATCTTTCTCTTTGAAAAAAAAATACTGAGATTGCCAGATAGAATGTAGAGGAAAAATATGTATTTCATATTCTCACTGAAGTTAGTCCTTTCCCCTTAATAGAACTTAATTCTAGAGTGCTTGAAATGTAGCACAGTGCAATTTGATTTCTCATTTTCTCTTTTTAGTATATTATACCTTCATGTTCTGGTCATTGTTCTATTCTGAAATTGATATGCAGACTGATTTTTAAACTTAGGGATTGGCTGGCTGTGAAATATAGATGCTGTACTTAACTAATACTGTGGGACAAAAAGATGTTTAATAGATTACTTGCTGAGTTGGAAAAGGAGAGTAGCTGGGGCATACTTTTATTGTGTTTACAACTTGAATTAGTTAATATTACTTAATGGTTTTTGAATTTAGGTTTGAGAAGCTGCTCACTTGGAACCGCCTGACCTTTAAAGTGATGCTGTTCAGTTGTTTGACAAATGCTGTGTACCAATCTCTGTGTTTGGTGTTTGGGGTACAGGAACGAACAAGAAAAATTCTCTGTGGTAACAAAGTGCATGCTCTAGTGAGGTAAAACTTGGGTGTAATATACTATCACATAGTGATAAATGTTTAGAAGAAAAACCAAGGCATGAGGGAAAGAGCATTCTAAAGCAAGAAAAAGCATGTTTTAGGTCGTAAGTTTCTCCTGGAGAAACTGCAAGAGTAAGCCAGTATGACTTGAGCAGAGATGAGATCAAAAAGAGGCCGGGAAGAGCTTTGAGTCTCATCTGGTATGTGAGGGAAATCACGTAGAGGGCTTTGAAGAGGGGAGTGATCTTATTTATATTTTATATAAGTGATTCTGGCAGCTGTTTGGAGATTAGACTCTAGGGGGAGGAAAATAGGAAGCAGGGATATGAATTAAGAGGCTTTTCGCACTAGTCCAGGCAAGAGATGATGGTGAGTTATGTGGTGAGGTAGCAACAAATGTGGTGAAAAGTGGTCAAATTCTAGATATATTTTAAAGGAGGAACAAAGAGGGCTTCCAAGACATTGAAATAGAAATATAGATTAGACAGATAGGAATCTAGGGTTTAGGGAAGAGCTCTGGTGGAATGTAAATTTGAAAGTTAAGAATGAATGATATTTAAACAATTAGGTCAAATGAGATTACCTAGAGGACAGAGGGTGCATCGCAAAGAAGTACAAGGATGAGCCCTGTGATCTTCCATTGTGTGGAGATGTAGCTGACGAAGAGAGCAGAAAATGAACTGGGCAGCTGTCTGTACAATTAGGAGAGAAAGCAAGGAGTATGATATCCTCAAGATTAAGGCGAAGAAAATGTTTGAAAAAATAGGGGTTAGAAACTTATGTCAACCTTGGAAAGTGGGCAACTGTTACATGCTGTTGAGAGTTGGGTAAAATGATAGTGAGTTGATTATTAGTTTTGATGAGATGGAAGCCATTGATAACTATCAAGAATAATTTCAGCTGATAGAAGTAAATTGGGGAGAAAATGGGAGATAAACTGGAGACTGCTATTACAAACATGCTCTTAGGGGTTTTGTTGCGAAGGGAAGCAGAGAAATGGAGAGGTGGCTGGAGGGGGCCATGGAGTAGCTATTTCTCAGCACAGTATCCTTGCTGCTGCTTCTGTTTTCCCCCAATGCATGGCATTCCATGCTCTCACACTGTTCAGGACTCAACTCCCCTCCAGACCCTAGTATCTCCTTGGACTTTCACAAAAAAATGTCTAGTATCCATGCAGATGGACTTGTCAGTAATAAAAAGGTCTTCATTTAACGAGTGCTCACTGTGTGCTAATTATTGTTTCTGAGAACCTTATGTGAAGTCATTTAAATTCTAGAACATTCCTTTGAGGCAGGCACAATAGTATCCCCTTTGTCGGGCAGCTTTTATCATAATGCTATAAAAAAAGAGTCCCAGGACTGAGGATTTAAAAAGACACTAATGTATTCTTGTTCATGATTCTGTGGTCAACTGAGAAGTGACTTACGGTCTTGGCCTCAAGTTATAGTTTGGTTTCATTCTGTTCTACAGATTTCTCATTCTTTTGGACCATTCCCGAGGATTGTGGTCTCCCTGTCCCGGTCCCGTCCCCCCCGCCCCGCCCCCGCCCCCGCCCCGGTCTTTCTTCAGCCAGATTATTGTCAGTAGACTCAACTCTCCTCATGCCATTAGCAGTTATTCAAATACACATAATTTCCCTGAATCTTTTAATGACTTTTTGCCTTCAGGGTAAAGTTTAAACACATTACAGGTGCTGGAGAGTTTTGCAATTTGATCTGTTTCTTCCCTTCCCCCCCATCCACTCTGGTCCCAGTCCAAATGGCCTTTTGTTTAAATGGCTGCCTTCAAAGGCCTCCTTATTTCCATCACTGTATTTCTGTCTAGAAGATCTCCACAGTTAATTACTACACTTGAGATAATCTTCAGGCTTTGCCTCTTTTATAAAGCATCACTTAATTCTACCCACAGGCAGAATTGTGCATTGGCTCATCTAATCTCTCCTGGCATGTTTTGGTTATCTGTTGCCGTTGAACAAGCCACCCTAACTCGTAGTGGCTTAAACAAGGGCTCCGTTATCTATCTTTCACTGTTGTGTGGGTTGACTAGGCTCACCTAGGTGATTTATTTGTCCTCTTTCTGGTTTCTCATGCAGTTGTACCAGATATTTGGGGCTGGAGTCATCTGGAGGTTAGACTCAGATCCAGGGTGGCTGAGTGTTTTCTTTCCCCTTTCCTTGTAGGCTCATATTCTCTCTATGGGCCTTCTCCAGCTGGTCTCAATCTTTTGGCCAGTGGTTCTTGAGAGCACACAGGCAGGGGCTGCCAGGCCCCCTTCATGTGTCGGCTCCAGACTGGCAGTGTTGCAGCACCACGTTCTGTGTTCTCTTGGTTGAAGGGAGTCACACCGAGCCATCTCAGATTCCTTAGGGAACAAATCTGTACAACAGCGCATATTCTGGAAGGCATGACTTCTTGGGGGCATCTGAAGAAATCAGTTATTATATAATAATGTTTAATGGATATTTCTGTTATCATTAAGACATTGCTTTTTCATCATTTCCTTATCAAGCTTTGCTTAAGTTTTTTTTTTATGGCCATATGTTTGTCTGGTACCCATCACAATGCCTGATAATATACTATATAGTTCCTCAGTTTTTTTGTGTGTGGTGCTGGGAATTGAACCTGGAGTCAAAGATCCTCATACATGATCTTGTGTTTTTTCTAATGTAAAATCAAACTTTCACCTTAGTGTCAGAGGCCGATCAATCCTCTGACTGCTTAGAAAGGGGGACGGTGAAGGCTAAAGAAAAAAAAGACAACAGAGACTTTCTTAATTTCAGAGTACATGGGGGGCCAGGAGGTCAGTGCCTCAGAGTGGGCAAAGACAAGGACTCTCCAAGCTAGCCATCATTTATTGGGTGCACACAATAATGGAGGGAGTATTGGGTGACTTAGGGGGTGACCTAGGGGACAGCAGTGATCCTTGGCCAGTTCAAATCTCATGCTAAGGAGGACTGAAAGGAGAGTATTCCCAGTCAGTAGGTGGGATGAGTTAAACTGATAAGGAATTTGTCCCTCTCCCGGTAAAACCTTTCTCTTTTTGTATTACTTCTTGATTCTCAAAGAACCAGGATGTCTTCAAGTTGATATAATCTTGCCCTTGAGCGCCTCAGCTTCTTGGGACCCTTGAGACCTCAGCTGTGACTGGAGGCAAAATGGAGTTCTGTTTCCACATGCCATAGCCAGCTTGAGGGCAAGGCAACATTGGGCCTTAGACAGTTATAGTCATACTTTAGTTATGAAATGATTTCCCCCCCAAATTTATGTAGAATGGCTCTCTACACCCTAACCTTTAAAAAATTAGAGGGCCGGGGATTTAGCTCAGTGGCTTCCCCGACTGCTGCACAAGCACAAGGACCCGAGTTCGATCCCTGGTTCAAAAAAAAAAAATTAATTAGATTAAATGTAACCTGAATTTTCTCTTTTTCGAAAACCACCTTTGGGGAGAGAACAGGAATGGTTTGATGACATATCATTTTCTTGTGCTCTTATCCATAAAGGTTGTATGTGAGAGCTTACCCAGTCACTTTCAAATACAAAGAATTGTGGTAATATAATGCTTAAGTTTTAATTATATTTTGCAAATCTTGGTTTGTGTAGTTGTCTTTTTATTAAAGAAATTCTTGTAATTCAATAAAATATTGAGAAAGTAAATAAAATATGAACCAAGATGAATCTTGGGTTTTAAATAATTTTTTTGTTTGTTTGTTTTGGTTTTGGTACCGGGGATCAAACTCTGGTCCTTACGCTTGAGGCAGGCGGTGGAACCACTGAGCTAAATCCCTGGCCCTAAATAATTTTTTTTGTTACAAATGAAAATAATTTCCAAATCAGTGTTACATAGAAACCTATACTGAATGATCTAGTCAGTTCATGTGTATTTATTAACACTTAAATATGTGCTCACACTGGGCCTGGTTACTATAGACATGGGAGAAAAAAATACACTTGATCTTAGCCAAAAGGCTGAGAAGCGATTGGGAGAAAAAAATAGAAGAAGCAGCTCTTTCTTATTGTTTATAGTCCAGAGTTTACTTTTCATTTGCACTGCTTGAAAAATAATTTAAAGTATCTTACAAGAAACACAAAGGTAAGAGGTAAAATGGACCCAAGAGTGAAGCTAATTAATACAAAACATATGATATGGATAAGCTGTGTCCTTCCTTTTAATTGTCTTAATGGCAGTGCAAAAAGAAACTTGGTTATTAGTTATAATTCACAGTGTTTGTAAGATTAAAAACCAACTGTTTTAGAAGATGTAGTACTCCGTCTCATAATTAGGCCAGTAAAAAGCCAAAACTCTTATTGAGTCCCATCATAAATAAGGCATTACTATAATGAACAGGATTTTTAATCTGTCTTTAAAAATACAGGTTTCTTAAAAGTATTCCTTTATATAAACAAGTGTATTACCAAAAGTATAATTTAATAAAAACAATTTGAACGGGAGGGTCTTATACAGAGTAATCTAAAAACATGCTTCTTTCTTGTTCCTAGAATGTTCTTTCCATCCACTTTGTAATCTTTCAGATCTTATTAGAAGTTCCCCTGGGAAGCTTTTCCAGCTCTTCCCTCCGCCAGAGCCCCCAGATACAGATAGATTCTCATAGAACCTCATGCTAGAGGGGGAACCTTGTACTTAGTTTGAGGCCCTTGCCTCCATAAGTTTGAATGTATTCAAATATGAAGGCAAATGGTGACAAATGCCCCTATTTCTGCTATTTTTTAGAACTCTAGCAATTAAAAAATTTTAAGAAAATTTTTATCTAGCAATTTTTGCTTAGAGGGGTTAAAAAAAACCAAACCAACCTAGGTCGGGTATAAAGACTTCTGCCTAATCCATAAAACAAAACCTTCATAGGTTTCTAATTCAAGAATGGAATTGAGTACACTGTTAGCTTTCTCACTCTCTCAGTTAAAATGACTATTAAGAAATATGAAAGAATGTCATAGAAATGAAAAAGAGAGCCTGGGATTTAGCTTACTGGTTTCGCTGCCTGCTGTGCAAGCGCAAGGATCCGAGTTCGATCCCCGGTACCAAAAAAAAAAAAGAAATGAAAAAGACATGGCTTGGAAGGGCAACAGGGTAGGCAAAAGAGAAAGCAGTTGGCAGCATCCTGATGGATGAATCTGGAGCCCAGAATCCTGGCAGAACCCCAACAAAGTCTAGACTGGTTGTTCAGAGGGAAGAGGGTGGAAATGAGAAAGTAGTGTTCAAACTCGGAAATCAACTGAAATCCTGCTTGTAGACCATCCCCCCCCAACCAGCTGCTGGTGACAGCTGACAGGATGCTTTGTAAATCAGACTCCTGGAGATAAATGAAATTGCTGATAGGACTTTGGCTCCCAGGGTAAAGCTCTCTTTATGATTTCACTGTGGGGTCCTTGACCTCAGGACCAGCTTCCTACTCAGACAAGGTGCCAGTCAACAGACTTCCTGCATCCTTAGAGCTCCCAAGGCACCTTTCTCACTTTGGAGATGGTTTTAGCTAGAGACAGAATAGAATACTGAACTTGGAGACATGAATCACTTGACATGTATTGAAAAGCAAAACACGAATGACAAAGAAACATAACAGCTGATCCTCAATGAAGCAGGTAATTCAGAGAAACAGAAGAGGACTTTAAAACTTTTAAAAATATCATCTTGGAGCCTTGTGAAGATTTTTAAATCCATAAAACTAAAACGTGATGCTACAGAGAAAAAAGGGCATAAATGTAAGACGAGGGGCCTTACCAAACTCTCCGAGGAGCTGACTGTAGTGAAGCACACCCAGGGATCCCAGCGGTGCCTCCAGATTGTAAGACCAAGAGCCTTACCAAACGCTCCAAGGAGCTGACTGCAGCAAAGAACCCCCGGGAAGGAACACACCGGACAAGTTGGAAAGTAAAACAGACCTTTATTAGTCTGGCCAGACGGCACTCCCAAAGCAAAATAGCTTAGAGAGGCAGCTGGCTCAGAGTCCGAGGCTGTTTTTTAGGGGGTTGAGGGGGGAAGTTAACATATAGAATTAAAGAAAAGGGGACAAAGGTTAGTGGTCGACTGTCATGTATTGATGGTCAGCAATTTGCAGCTTGTTCTAAAAATTGTGGTGCCCAGAACATCAGTTCCAGGCAAACAAGGAGATGAGTAGTTTACTTTGGGACTTTAGGTCTGTTACAGATTTTTATCTAGTGTCCCAAAACTAACAAGCATCTTTATCCATTAACTCACATTTAATCGCAATGGGGCTGGAGAAAAGGAACAAAGGTTATGCAGTCCCACATAATCAAGAAAGAAGCAAATTTTTTGAAATGTAAACTTGATTGCTGGGGACAAAAATAGGAATAAAAGTGTAAAGCTTCCAAAACAAAAAAATAGCAATAAAAATACTATATACAATTAAGTAGCTAACATTTATTGAGGCTAATTCTTTGCCAGGTGTTATTCAAAATGCTTTCTGTGTTGTAAATTATCACCACATTGTTGTGGGGGAGGTACTGTACTATTATTCTCATCTTTTTAGAGATGCACACAGTGCTAACAGTTTGCCTAAGGTCTCATAGCTGACAAGTGATAGAGCAGGCTCAAGCCCAAGCAAGTCTCTTCACCCAGTATTTTTTTTAACGTGTGTATTTTTGTGTTTTGTTTTTTTTTGAAACAGTCTCACTATGTAGTTCAGGCTGGCCATTATGCTAATTCTGGGATAACAATAAAAGGTTGAAAATGCCCAGAATAAGAAGGCACTACTATCAGGAGATAAATGAGTTTTTTTAACATTTAGACGTGTGACCTTGGCTAACTGTAGATTTACTTACATGAAAATCTTTTGATGAAGGGCAGAGTAGTGAACCACTGTTACCCTAAACAGTTATGAGGTGCTAAAAAGAACTCTGAAGACTTGGCTCAGGGACATGTATTTGTTTCATAATCTTCACTTAACTTGTTTCCTCTGTACATGGAGACAATGCCTACTTCTCAGGTTCTGTAAGAATAAAATGAGACGATATATGTACAAATGCCCCATAGGATGCAAAATCAGATGCAAGTTCCAGATTATTTTCCAGTTTGCTCATTATCTTTTAAAATAATTCCTCAGAAGGTTAGCTCTGGTGAATTGCTTATCTAAAACAGGGCTGATCATCTCTGCAAATTTCCCATTTGTTTTCTAGATTTCTGTATTCAGATGAAGTTCAAATTGGCCCAGAAACAGTCATGACCACTCTGTATACTGCTAAGAAATATGCTGTCCCAGCCTTGGAAGCACATTGTGTGGAATTTCTTACCAAACATCTCAGGGCAGATAATGCCTTTATGTTACTTACTCAGGTGAGTAAATATAGTTATGTATCATTGTAGCTTAAAGACTGAGTATATGTGAATATTTGATATTTCCTGAAGAATTAATTCTGCATTATTAAAATATAGTTATTTTTACAATACATTCAGGGGACTATATCAGAGTCATAAAATTTTAGAGTGAGGAAGCTGAAGTCTTATATGAAGAGAGGTGTTGTAACTCAAGGTTAGATAGCTACTTAGGACTGGAGCTGGGATTAGGAGCCATTGTTGTTCCTGCTATGATTGGAAGTATAATACCATGAAATTTCCTGGATATCTTTGTTCTCAGCTTTTGCTGGATGTGAAATAAAGATTGAATATTTAAATTCCAGGAAAGTTCTAATATTGACTCTATTTGTACCTAAATCTGGAAGTGTGCTGCATTCCTGGAAAAGTTAGAATTTTAGGCTTTTCTAAAATACTCTTTCAAAAATTTTACTCAGTTTTCACTAAGCATGACCTCCATACAGCAAAGTGCATATATTTAAGTGTGTAGTCTGATGAGTTTTAATAAACTGAACATACCTGTGGAACCACTAACCAGTCCTTAACATTTATTGTTTAGCAATTGTTAAACCCCTTTAATCTGAGCTTCTTTCTTTAGGTATAAAAGTGTTTCTCTTTTTAGACAATGTTGTATTGCTGTTATATGAATTGCTTTTTAAGATTCGGAGTTAATGCAGTCCTAACCTTATTGTAGCACATAGCTGTAATCCTCAGAAGGCTGGGGTGGGAGAATGACTTGAGCCCAGAAGTTGAAGAACAGCCTGGGCAATAATGAGACTCCATTGCAAGCAAGTTGAATTTTTTTTTTTTTTTTGGTACCAGGGATCGAACTCGGGTCCTTGTGCTTGCACAGCAGGCGGCAAAACCACTGAGCTACATCCCCAGCCCAAGCAAGTTGAATTTTAATAAGTACTAGTAATAATCACTGATGACTCCTAGCTAAATTCTCATTTTACAAATAGAAAAATTAAAACCTGGGCTAACTGGGCTAGTAACTCCTTATCCAAACTCTTATAACAGGTAAAGCCAGGGCCCAAAGTTCATGTTTCCATCTCAGTGTTCATTCTGTCATGTAGAAAATACTTGATACACTAAAAAAATCTTCTGTCATTAAGTGTTTATAGTTGTAGAAGAAAGAACATGCTGATGTCACTGCTTCTTAGACATAATTACAGAGCTCCATGTATGTCAGATACTCAGCTAATAATAACAGCAAAATGTATTGGGCAGTGGTTGTGTGCCAGCACCTGTATTGGTCAGTTTTTCATGATTGTGACAAAATACCTGCCATAAGTAACTTAAAGGAGGAAAGGTTTATTTTGGCTCATGGGTTCAGAGGTTTTATTCCATAGTTGGCTGGCTGCATTGTTTTTAGGCCTGTGGCAAGGCGAAAACATTGTGGCAGAGGAAAGTTGTTCACCTCAGGTCAGCCAGGAAGCAGAGAGAAAGGGAAAAAGCCCAGGAGAAAGAAAGGAGGGGCCCTGGACAAGACTTTTAGAGACTGAGTGCCCAAACTGCAACCCAAAACCCACTTATTTATCCCAAAGTGCCAACACTGCAATTAAACCTGAATACTAAGACTTTAGTTTAGAAAAAATAACTCATACATTAACATCTTTTGTCTTAAAAGAAATATAACTCATGTGCCATAGGTTTGCCATCCTTTTAAGACACACCCCAAGTAACCTACTTCATCCAGTTCCCAACCTCTGATGGCCCATTCAGCTGTGAACTCATCTGTGGGTTAATCCATTGATGTGGTGAGCATCCTCATGACTATTCATGTCTGTGCCCCATCTCCAAACATCGCTGCATTGGGCATCAAAGCTTCAGTGCTGAGACTTGGGAGGACATTTCCATCTTTTTTTGCGCGGGGGGGGGGGGTACCGGGGATCAAACTCGGGTCCTTGCGCCTGAGTGGTGAAACCACTGAGCTAAATCCCAGGTCAAAGGACACTCCATCTTTACACCATAATAGCAGCTTTCTTGGCTTTTTGTATGCATCAGTTCACTTTGTCCTTAAAATAACTTTATGAAGTATAGGTTTTCTTATATCACCATCAAGTGTTGGGGCACAGAGAAGTGAAATAACTTGACCACAGCCATGTAACTATTAACTACTATCTCCCTCATTTGTTCATTAACACAATTTTTGATAAAAATCTAGTAAGTTGTCAGGAGGCTGAAGCAGGATTGCTGCAAGTTGGATACCAGCCTGGACTACATAGTGAGTTCAAGGCCAGCCTGAAGTACACAGTGAGACCCTGTCTTTAAAAAAAAAAAAAAAATCTAGGAAATTGATATTCATAAAATTTATTGTTCATGGGGTTTTAATATATGTAGAGTGGATCACTGATTACTTTTATATTTTAAATTACACAATTCAGAAATCCAACTGAACTTTGTTAATTAAAATGCAGATTCTGGTTTAATAAGTCTAGGGTGGGGCCTGAAGTTCTACATTTCTTTTGGCTTTTAGATGACACCAGTATTTGTGGACCACACTTCAAGTACCAAAGGTTATTTAATAAGTGTCATTGTGATAAGAAAAGCCGTGTTCTAGTGTCTTGATGGCCTGAGAACCCAATATGACGTCAGCTGGGTTTTTTTGGGGGGGGGGGTACAGGGGATCAAACTCGGGACCTTATGCTTGCAAGGCAGGCGGTGGAACCACTGAGCTAAATTCCCGGCCCCTACATCAGCATTTTTACTCGTGGGGTCATGTTAACTTCTTGTTCCTGCCAAGTGAGCTATTTGAACTGAGCATGTTCATTTACTTGAAAGGCCCAGGGTAGCTTCACCCTAAAACAAAAGCCAGTGTAGGGCTGGGGATTTAGCTCAGTGGTTCCGGCCCCTGCTTCGAAAGCGCAAGGTCCCGAGTTCAATCCCCGGTACCAAAAAAAAAAAAAGAAACTCATAGACTGGGGCCTGGGATTTAGCTTCGAAAGCGCAAGGTCCCGAGTTGAACCCGGTACCAAAAAAAAAAAAAACCAACACACAAAAGCCAGTGTACTGTACCATCATGGTTTATAGTGAGAAAAATGCTTTTTTTTGGTACCGGGGATCAAACTCGGGTCCTTGCGCTTGCGCAGCAGGTGGCAAAACCACTGAGCTAAATCCCCGGCCCAAGAGAAAAATGCTTTTTGTGAAGTATTATCAGAAATAATGGCAAAATTTTGAGAAAACTTATTTCACTCTGACATAGCAGCAGTAGATTCCATAGGACATGGTACTGCCTGTTTAACCCAAGGACTGGCTGACAGTTGCTACTCTGAATAAAATGTTTTAGAAAAATTATGTTTTCTAGATTGAAAACTTAAATTTTATATGAACATCAACCAAAAATAAAGTTGAGTTATGCCAGTTAAAATGTCTGCTGACAGTGGACTCTTGACTTTATAAAAATGTACTATGTTCCTTTAAAAATGCATAAACTAGCAAGACATAGTGTTGCACACCTGTAATCCCAGCACCCCAGGAGGCTGAGGCAAGGAGACTGAAAGTTTGAGCTCAACCTGGGCAATTTAATGACTTAGCAAAACCCTGTCTCAAAATAAAAAATGTTAAAAGGTCTGGGGAGGTAGCTAAGTGTGAAAGCTCTGGATTCATTGCCAAGTACCACCAAAAAGAAAGAAAGAGGAAAAGGCACGAAGTGTGATCGTACATAGAATCCTATACTAGAAGCAAAAATATTCTTTAAAAAATTGGGTCAAATGACAAAGTTGGAATTCAGCCAGAAAATTAGTTAATATTGTATTCATGTTTTTAAAAAAGTGTGTGTGTGTGTGTGTGTGTGTGTGTGTGTGTGTGTGTGTGGGGAGGGAGAGAAAACTTATGAGGCAAAATGCTAGATAGGTAGTGTTTAGATACGTAAATCTGGGTAATGGGTTTCCTTTTCTTTTTTCTTTTTTTCTTTTTCCTATCCTTGCAAGTTTTAAGGGAAAATTACATGAAAGAGTTAATATTCTATTAATACTATTTTTAAATTTATGACTAAACTTAACTGTTGGACAAAGTAATATAAAGAGGCCCAGTGTATAATCCAAGAATAGTTTTTTGTTTTTGTTTTTGTTTTTTGGGGGTACTGAGGGTCGAACTCGGGTCCTTGCACTTGTGAGGCAAGTGGCAGAACCACTGAACTAAATCTCCAGCCCCTAGCATTTTTTGATATATTGTCTTTTAAAAACTTGTTCTGATTTAAAATATCTATATATTGAATTTTTAAATTTTACTATAAAGCCAGTATATTTAATGCTCTCTTTTCTCATAAAGCATAACTATTTAGAGATGCTTATCATTGTTCATTAATGTCTGAATTACTGAATCCTTTAAAATGAATTTTACTTGAAAGTTAAATGAACCACCATCAGTCGTGCTAAATAATGGCTGCCACTTACATAGTCAATTAATTGGCAGTATTCTGAGCAGAATTTTGCAGAGCCCACACGAGTACCTCTGTGCACTCAGTGTTTATCTATGCTATTGATGGAAACAGCTGACCTGGGCCAGAGTGAGTTTGGTGATTGGCATGCCTATTGCCATACCTTTCCTCAGCTTTTCTTTTGAGTTTGACTTCCACTCCCCCTGCTTTTTTTTTTTTTTTTTTTTGGTACCGGGGATTGAACATAGATCCTTGTGCTTGCGCAGCAGGCGGTGAAACCACTGAGCTAAATCCCTGGCCCCACTCCCCCTGCTTTTAAACTTCCTTTTTTGTGTTATACTGTGGATATTGATAAAACACATATTATAAGCTTGACTTCTAAAGCCTAAATTAGCTTGGCAGGAAATCATGCATTGTATCTACTCTTGCTTCTTGTATACTATGTCTTCTTCATGATTAACGCTGTAGGATTCATCCATATTGTATGTAGTTGTAAATCATTCATTGTCATCTTTATATAATATTCCAGCATATGAATTTATTTACTTGTTTTTGTGTTGTTAGACCTAGTTTTTTGTTTGTTTGTTTGTTTTGGTATTGGGGATCGAACTCGGGGTCCTTGTGCTTGCGGGGCAGGCAGCAGAACCACTGAGCTAAATCCCCGGCTCCTTGGACCTAGTTTTTACAAAAGTTTCCAGAGCTTTGATGCTCTAAAATTCTTGTAGTCTCTGTCTTCCCAATCAAAACAGTAAATGTTTAAAAAAAACCTCAAAAAACCTGATCTGTTTGCGCTGGTAAACTTGGCAATTGATATTGTAGGTTAGTGAAGATCGTGAGAGTTAAGATTTAAATACTAGAGTTTAAAACATACCTAGTTAGATGATCTTAGGCAAGTTAGCAAACATCTCTGAATCTCTATTTCTGTATCTGGAAATGTTATAAAAGTATCTGCCTATCTAATCTAGAGGGTTTGCTAAGGATCACACTAAACGATGTATAAGAAAATGAGCAGTATATTGATACACATACAAGTAGATGTTTTTACATAATTAGCAACTGCAACTGTTTACACTGTCAATCTGTATACAGCCTGAAGGTGAAATAAAGTAAAACAATGATTTTTTTATATGTTTAGGCACGATTATTTGATGAACCTCAGCTTGCAAGTCTCTGTCTAGACACAATTGACAAAAGCACCGTGGATGCAATCAGCGCAGAAGGGTTTACTGATATTGATATCGGTGAGTGCCCCATGAACTGAATTTTTACATTTTAAGTACAAAAATGAGTAACTTGTTGGCCTTTTTGGAGTACAAGTTGTATTTAAATTAGTAGTTTTTCCAAATGATTGAAGTCTGCTGTCTTAGTTCCTTTCTCATTGCTGAAACACAGTACCTGACAGAAACAACTTAAAGGAGGAAAGCTTTATTTTGGGTCACAGTTTGTAGAGGTTTCAGCCATATTCGTCTGGCTCCATGGTACGGTGGCAGAGGGGCATGACAGAGGAGGAACAGCTCATGGTGTGGCAGGTAGGAGGCAGTGAGGGCTCAAAGGAGGAGGAAGGAGATATGTTTTTCTAGGCCATGCCCACAGTGACCCACCTTTTCCACCAGGCTTCACCTCCCAACATCACACCTAGCCATAAACTCAGTGAACTAATCTAGTGATGAGTATCACACCCCCATGATCCAGTCATCTCCCCCAAAGACGCCTTTGACCACATGAGGCTTTGGGGGAGGGCATCTAAATATAAACCGTAACACCTACCTTTTCAGTAGTTTTGCTTTCATTCGTTTTGGGGAAAATATTCCTAAAAGTCCTATTTCATTGCTTTTGTTTATTTATATTAACTGTTTTGTTTATATTAACTGGGATTGAACCTAGGGCTGTCAACCTGAACTTTATCCCCTAACCCTTTTTATTTCATTTTTTTATTTTGACATGGTCTTGGTAAGTTGTTAAGGTGGCAGGACTAAGCTGAAATTTGTGCTCTTCCTGCCTCAGCCCCCCAGAATGCAGAGATTACAGGCATGTACCACCACGCCTGGCCCTTGTTGCTTTTTAAAAGATGTCAACTCAAAATGTTCACTATATACATGACCTTATATTAGGGTCCTATAGGAAATTTAAAGAAGAGTAAAACATGATTTGAAACACCTAATTAGAGAATCAAGGAACAAATTTGTGAAAATTAAAATTTTTACTAATAGAAGAGATGTCATAGAGCAAAATGTGATTTTTGCCTTTTCTAAATTAGATATGTAGAAAATAATTCTGCAAGTCCAGAAACTGGGGAGTTTACCTCAAGTTGGGATAGTGTTGGGAAAGTCTTGACACAGGAAATTCGAATCTGAGCCTTAATGGATAGCATTTGGATTGTAAAGGGTGAGGGCATTTGAGGCCAGTGGGAGCACGGGAAGAAGTCTGATGATAGCCTGCGGGGTGGCCTGTGGGGTGGAGTAGAGAGAGCCAAACCCAGGTCCATGGCTTTAAATATTATCTTTGTGTTGATGAACCCAAAATATGAATGTTGAATCCCTATCTCCTGGGCTCTAAGCTCATATATCCAATTATTTGACATTTTTATTTGGAGATTTTGCAGGCATCTGAAACAAAACAGTTAAAAGAACCATCTGTTCCCTTCAGTCTTTGTTAGATCTCTGCTGTTCCTTTCAGCCTTTTTTTCAGTCTTGGTACCACCACGAACCTGATTGCTAAAAACTCAGAAGTTACTATCAATTTTTCTCTTTTCCACCCACATAGTCTTATCAGTGGTGTGCATGTCAGCTTTCAGAGTAGATCCGAGGTCTGACCATTTCTTACCTCTGTTTGCTCTCACCTGGAGAACTCTGCGGTCTCCTGTGTCTTGCCTTCCATCCACTTTTGCTCCCCACACAGTCCATTCTCTATACAGCAGTTAAGGCGATCTGTAGAAATAAAAAAATCAGCTTGGATCACTTTCTTGCTTCCACTGCAATTAGAATAAAATTTAAACTCTTTACAAAGCTCACCAGGCCCTCTGTGATCAGGCCTAATATTAGTCAGGGCAGGTTCAGCTTGGCTTGGCTGTGGTATCAGATAGAGCCCAAAGTGCACACTGCCTCAGACATAAAAGTACGTTTATATAATACTCAGCTAACAGTCCAAGAAAGTGTCATAATTAGCAGGCAGCTCTCTCTTGTGGCTTTGCCATTCCCTGGGGCCTGAGTATTGCTTGTATGTTCTTGACAGATGGGAGAAAGTGGGCAGGGAAAACGCCTACATATTAAAAGCCTTGGTCTCGAAATAGCATCTTTATTTTGGCCTCTATTTCATTGTCCAGAATTCACTTGCAAGATCCCATCTAACTTTGGGGGAAGCTAGGCAGTGCATACTAGTCACATCCCAGGAAGAAGAGAATACAGAATTTTGGTAAACAGCTAGCAGTCACTACCTTTATCTGACTTTGTCTTCTGCCTCATTCACATGCCCTAATTCACATGCCATATGCACTAGGCAAGATTATTATATTTCAGGCCTTTGTATTTGCTTTTCCTTCTGGTTGGAATCCTGTTTCTAATCACTCATCTCAAATTTGAGACTTTGTTGGTATGGCTTCCAACTTTTTAGTCATTTAGGTCACAGGTTAAACAAGACCTGAGACAGGCTGCCTCCGACCTACTTACAGTAGACACCAAACAATCCTTGTTCCATTACTCTGATTTATTTTCCTCATAATGTGTACTGCTCTCTGAAAGTCTCATCTGGGTATTTGTCTTTGTTTTTACACTGATTGTCTGTTTTTCCCCATCTAGACTCTATATTCCTTGAAGGCAGGTCATTTGTCTTATTTAACTACTGTATCCCTAGCCCTGAAAGCAGCAGAACAGAATACATGTTCAGTTAATATTTGTTGACGAGCAGATTGACTGGCTGCTGGAATGCTGCCTTGCCATCCCACTTTTATAGTTCTTGCTCATTTGGCCCAGATGGCCATTTTAGAACAATGTCTTATCTTGAATTATACCACTGTGGTGACTCATTCCTTGAGAGCTGACAACCTCGCTCTCTTCCATGACACTTAGTGTATTCCTCTGTTGTAATCATATAATATCCCTTTGGGAGTTTGCCTGCGGATTGCATGGTGCCTTTGAGATTTCTTTGCTGCTTGTGTTAAGCTGAAGGGCAGGGACTCCCTGGGTTCCTCTCAGCCTCTGCTGGTGGTGTTTACTAAGTTACTGGGTGGTTGAGAGCCCCGGGGAGCACTGCCAGGGTGATTCATAAAGCATTGCTAATCCTAATTCCCTTCCTTTAGGGGGCTATCAAGTGCTTCTTTTGTTCTTTATCTACTCTCATGTGAAAGAATACTGCTTGCATCTGCATGACTTAGACCTGCAAATTGTTTTATAAACAGCTGTTACATTATTCATGCCATTGGAGCCCAGGAATCTTGAAATGTAGGTACTTTGCACGGGTTAAAGAGACCCTATAATTATTGATTTGAATTGACTAACAGTTACTTAATTGCAATCCAGCATTGTGTTATGTTTATGAAACACAGTCTGTTGTGTTTTGTGTTGTGAGTCTCTCAGCTATAATTTCTTATTTTAACACATCTGCGAATAGAAGACCTATGTGTCTCTCTACCTATTTCCACCCCATAGGCTATTTTGCCTTAAATACACCTGATAAAATTAGGAATTGCAGAGATGTCTAGGAGCTGAAAGAAAGAGGGAGTTGGCTTCAGGAGCTCTTCTGTAACTGTCTTAGATTTTCAGATTTTTTCCCCCTAGGATTTGACAGGCCAGTTTTGTTTTGTTTTTGTTTTTTTTTTGGTATTGGGGATCGAACTTGGGTCCTTGCACTTGCGCAGCAGCAGGCTGTGAAACCACTGAGCTAAATCTCCGCCCCTCCTCTAAGATTTGGATAGAAAGAGAGATGATGTTTCTTTCAGTTTTTTGGTAAAAGAAGAGGATAATTTATCACATTGGTATAACAAAATGAATTCACATTATTTTGAGGACAGTTGGTATACCGCACACATGCATATGTAAGAAATTTAAGTTTAGTATATATTTATCTTTTTTTTTTGGTACCGGGGAGCGAACTCTGGTCCTTGCGCTTGCGCAGCAAGCAGCGAAACTGCTGAGCTAAATCCCCGGCCCAGTATATATTTATCTTTACTCAAGGTATTAGCAAACAAAGTAGAAACATGTAAATGAAAAGTCTTCCATTTTTCTATTGAATGATTAAATATCATGATTATTGTATATTCTTAATCCAGCAAGGATTGAGGTACATTATATTGGTTTTCATTTAATTTAACTATGAAAAAGCTTCATAAAGCCTTGATTTGTACCCATCTAGTCAGCAACAGCAGAAGAAAGGGAAGTTTGATTTTTTTTGTTTTTTTGGTACCAGGGATCGAACTCAGGACCTTGTACTTGCGAGGTAGGCTGCAGCACCACTGAGCTAAATCCCCATCCTGAGAAGTTTGATTTTTAAAAATTAAGTTTAACCAATTTATTTTTAACATTGTTGAACCCTTATTGTGTTCTAGGAACTGATTTTTTTTTTTTTGTATTGAGGATTGAACCCAGGGCCTTTGCACTGAGCTATATCCCCAGTCCTTTTCTATTTTCTATTTTGAGATAGGGTCTCACTAAGTTGTCCAGGCTGGACTCAGACTTGCCATCCGTCTGCCTTAGCCTCCCCGAAGGCTGGGATTACAAGTGTGTCCCACTACACCCAGTGAATGTTAGCTATCTTTGTTATTCAGCAAATACTTAGCTTTCAGTACAGATGTATATAGACCGTTGCAGTGAAGTATTTGATAGAATTTTCTTTGATATTTGTTTCTGGATAATTTAATCATATTTAATATTTTGATTGATTTATGCTGTATATAACTGGTGTATTCTTTAATGTCAATATCACATATTTTATACCTGTGCTTATTTTATCTTAAGTTCTTTAGAGAATAAGGTTCTATGTAGATAATTTTCTCATGCATCTAGAATCATACTTTTTTAAAACCAAAATATTATTTAACTATTTGAGAAAAATATCTAAATCATTTTGTTTTACCTGCCTTTGTTAAACCATATATATGAATAAAATTTAGGATTCTTGTGGTTATTTTATTTTATTTTATTTTTTGGTACCGGGGATTGAACTGTTGGGTCCTTGCACTTGCGATGTAGGCGCCAGAACCACTGAGCTAAATCCCCGGCCCTCTTGTGGTTATTAATGATCATTATTATAAGTATCAGTTATTGAACTCAACTGTAGAGTGAAGCATAGGGGCTCTGAATACTGTTTTTTAAAATCTTTTTGTGTAAGACTCTGGACTTCTGTGCTTGTTAGTACTTAGTTTTGCTTTTCACTTATTTCCTCTTTGTGCCTGATAGGCTACAGTTTATCATTTCTTGTTGTTGTGTTGCCCTGTGCAGCTTCTTTTTCTTCTGAACTTACTGCTTCTTAGCTATTGTTGCTTAAGGTGACTGAGCTTAGTTAATTTTGCCCATGATGAGAGGAGGAAGAGAGTCAGAATAAGGACCTGAGGTGCAGCTGTGACATTTATACTAGATGTTGTAACGTTTCAAATGTATGTTCCAAATTATACTTCACATCCTTCTCCATCCAAACACACTGATTGCTCCTGTAGTCATTCCATCTCAGTTAATGCCACTGCCTTTCTCCATTGCTTACTTGCCACTGTTCTCTCTCTTTTGTCCTCTTTTGACTCCTCTCACACCCTACATCCAATCTCTTTAGAAATCACTTTGAGGTCTGGGGATTTAGCTCAGTCGTTCCACCACCTGCCTCAAAAGCGCAAGGTCCCAAGTTCAATCCCAGGTACCAAAAAAGAAAAAAAAAGAAATCACATTGAGTCTTCTTTCAGAACACATGATGTGGTTAAAAAAAAAATACAGTGAGTGGTTAATATTTGTAACAGTGAGATTCACATTGCCATTAATCCCCCTCAAAATGCACCCCCTCTCTTTGATGAACACACTTACCTCATCATTCTTCCCACTTTCTGAAGCAGTTCAGGTTGCACTTCCCACTCCCCCAGCCTGATACTTTATGTAAGTGCATCATCTAACATACTATAATTTACCTGTGTTTAATCAGTCTGTTTCACTGCATTAGGATGTGAGTTCCATGAGGGCAAAGCTTTTTTACTATTTGTTCAATGATATTCAGTGCCTAGAATAGAACCTGGCACATATGGGTGCTTAAGAATAAATATTTGCTGAACAAATGGATGAATTATAATCTGTAGACTTTATAAATTTATGCAGTAAACCTTTCTTGTGGGCTATTACTGATCTTATTGTGGATGTTTCAGTTTGTTTAATAAGTAGCATGAAAATACAAGGGAATTTTTTATGCTTGCATATATGGTAAGAAATGAATCTTAATTCTACATTAATTTTTTTTTTAAAGAACACTTTGGAGTTTTAATTCTTTTAGTTATTTAGTATTTTAAAGTATACACTATAAAGTATCTAACATTTTTATTGAGATTTGAATATTTAATATAAGCACATTTATCAATATTAATCTGTCAAAGAACAAAATATGCCTAATTTGATCTATTTTTATCATATCTACAGATACACTCTGTGCAGTTCTAGAAAGAGACACACTTAGCATTCGAGAAAGTCGACTTTTTGGAGCTGTTGTACGCTGGGCAGAAGCAGAATGTCAGAGACAACAGCTGCCAGTGACTTTTGGAAATAAACAGAAAGTTTTAGGAAAAGCACTTTCTTTAATCCGCTTCCCACTGATGACAATTGAAGAGTTTGCAGCAGGTAAGACTGTAACTTCACTAAAGTCTGCTTTTCTTCTTCTTGTCATTTGTGGGGTTTTTTAATCTTTTTTTGTACTAGGGATCAAACTCGGGACCTTGTGCTTGCTGAGGCAGGTGGTGGAACCACTGAGCTAAATCCCTGGCCCTGTCGTTTGTGTTTTTTAAGACAGGATCTCTACATGGTCCAAGCTGGCCTTGAACTCAGTATGTCAGCCAGGCTGGCCTCAAACTCAAAATGATCCTCCTGCCTCGGTCTCTTGAAGGGCTAGGATTACAGATGTGTGCCACCATGCCTGGCTTATTTAAAACTATTTTAATAGTCTCCTTGAGCCAGAAAGAAAAGAAGCTGGATTATTTATTGAGTACTCGTCACATCTGAGCCTCCTGATTAGTAATTTTTGCTTTTTTAGAAGCAGTGTATTCTTTTGTGCTTTTAAGATTTCATATTACCTCTGGTTTTGAGTGGTTTGCTTATGATGTGCCAGGTGGACCCTTTTCACATGTCACACCTTCTGGAAGTCTTTATTTTGATTCACCCCTCTGTGGACTGGAGTTGGATTGTTTACTTTCTTCGGGTAAATAATATGTTTTTCATGGATTGAAGACTTCTCCAATATAGAGGACATTTTCTCTCACTAAAGGCTTGAATTATTTTCATTTCTTCAGGACCACTGGGTGGTCCTGCGTGTTGGTCTTCCCTTTTTATCACACACATTAATCACCTTATAAACATTTTCATTCTTTTATCTTAGTCCTTATCATTCTGAGAAAGATGAGTTTTCAACGTCATCTCTCTTATGATCTTACGTCATTTCAGTTTCGGGGGGTTTTTAATTTTTTTTTTTCTAAAATACAGATTTTTAGTTTGTGGTTAGAGTTGTCCTTTATAATCTTTCCTTATCCACAGATAGTAAACAATGAACCTTGGGCCATATTAAACAGGCTGATAGATTTTGTAATATTTAAATTTTTAATCTAATTTAAAATTTTTTTAAAGCTTTCTAAACCACATTTCTAGTGTGAACACATTTTAGTGTTCACTTTGGTTGCTTTTATTAGCCTTAAAGGGGTCTACTGGTGCCTTTTATGAGAAATAGCATGGGTAAATTTAAGGTATTTTTGTTTTTCTCTTCTGGAACACTGAATGGGAAGAAAGCATATACAGTATACACAGCCTTCTGATCTGCTAACTTCTGTAACCCTGAAAGAAAATACTGTTACCGTCTCTAAAGATATCCCATTGCCTGAACCATAGAAGGTATTAGGAGGAGAGCTCTGGCCACCCTTGTGAGTAGTCCCACCATAGGGGTGGCTCCTCTCCCGCCAAACACTCAGGGGGTCAATTGATAGAAAGATCCAGAGAGGTTCCTATAACTCGGGGTATTATCTAAGCTTTGTCTAATTAATGATTTTACCACTTGTATTCTTTTAGGATAACCTCAAATTGATTTATTGAAACCACATATATACTGACATTATGGCAAGATTTCTCTGTTTTGTTTTTTTTTGTTTTTTTTTTGGTACCGGGGATTGAACTTGGGACCTTGTGCTTGTGAGGCAGGCACCAGAACCACTGAACTAAAATCCCTGGCCCTCTCCCTATTTTTACATCTTCCAGATTTGAGTTTATCTGATTAAGTGAAGTAGTTTGAACTCAGATTGCTTTCACTGAGGTTTATAGTTGTGTTCTGCAGGTCCTGCTCAGTCTGGCATCTTGTCAGACCGTGAAGTGGTGAACCTCTTTCTTCACTTCACTGTCAACCCCAAGCCCCGAGTGGAGTACATTGACCGTCCACGGTGCTGCCTGCGGGGCAAGGAGTGCTGCATCAACAGGTTCCAGCAGGTGGAGAGCCGATGGGGCTACAGTGGGACCAGTGACCGGATCAGGTAGCCGTCTGATCCAGTGTGCCGGGCTGGGAGGCAAGGTGGCATTTGTCCTCATACCCAGCCATTAGCCTAGCCCTCAGACTGTGGGAGATGCCTAACCAAGATCTTATCTTACACTTTCTTTGCTTTGTACATTTTTAAGTTAATACAACTGTCAAGTCACTAAGGTACCCTTGTCTTCTCACTGAATTGTGAGGGTGACCTCTTAGGAAATAAAAGGCAGAAGATTGGGTGGGGCCTTCAGTTACACGAAGTCTGTTTGGATTACCACTGCTGGTTCTATTCCTAGCTAATCAAATACTGCTTTTATAAGCTTAAGGCTACAATTTAGTCAGTTTTACTTTATTAAGCTGAATGTTAAGTTTTTTCTTTGAATAGATGCAGTGTGTAAAATATCTCAGTGTACATATGTAAAAGTTTTTGGGGAAAAAAATCAAGATTTATAGCTGGGCATGGTGGCACACTTGGGAGGCTGAGGCAGGAGGACTGCCCCAAGTTCAAGGCCAGCCTGCTCTACATAGCAAAACCCTATCTCAAAAAAAAAAAAAAAAAGAAAAAAAAATCAAGATTCATGAAATATGCATACGTACAACCTTGCTGAAGAATTTATCTTTGCTGTACTCTATATCTTTAGGTTAAATGTCAAAGTAGAATCAGTACCAGTTTTCCTAAAATATACCTTTTGGATTTTCAGTTATTTAATAGCAATTTAGTATAATACTAGTCATTAACAACAACTTTGTTAAATAAAGCTCCATTTGAGTGGGGGGCTATTATAAATTCTTGGGTTAAAATGGAAGTTTACTTTTAGGGTGCCCCCTAGACCCCTGGAGCTGAAGATCTAACTCAGGGCCTCACATGTGCCAGGCAATGCTCTACCACTGAGCCTCATCCCCAGCCCTTAAAATGGGAACATAAAATCCATTTGTAAACTGTTAATCATAGGATGAGGCCAAAGCTGCACACAAAAAATAAACAATTTAGTAAATAAATTAGAAATAAATGACCTAGGTATTCAATCAGGTAGGCTAGAATATGGACATCAAAAGAACCAGAACGCTAATGAAAGAGAAAGGAAGTAGGTAACTACAAAAATGAGTGGATTAAAACTAGTAGAACTGACAGACCCATAAGCTGGTTCCTTAAAAAGATAATAAACTTCTGCCAAGTGTAATAAAAAAATTCACATTTAGAAATCCAAATGAGATTATAAGAATGTGCTGAGAATTTAATTCTGGGCTTACTCTGTGCTAATAAATTGAACATCTTGATGGAATGGATCATTTTTATAGGCAAATATAAATTATCAAAATTGACTGAAGAAGAAAACCTGAATAGACCAATTACCATGGAAGGAATTAAAAGTTATCAAAGACCTGTCCCTTCGCCAGGTGGTTTTTACAGGTGAGTTTTAATCAAACATTCAAGGAACACATGGTTTCCTTGAGCATTAAAAGAAGAAAATACTTCTTGGTTAGTTATTGAAGGATGAATAATCTTTATATTAGAGTGTAACAAGATGAAAAATAGATCAGCCTCATTTACAATATAAAACAAAAATTCAGCATTCAATGTAGGCACATTGAATGTAGCCGTAGCATAGGAGAATAACACTATATGAGTAAATAGTTTATTTGGAGGATGGAAAAATGGCTCAATGTTAGGAAGTAGCAGACCAAAAGAAAAACAACTTGATTTTAATAGATATCAAGAATTGATAAAATTTCACCTTTATTCTAAATATAACTATTAATAGATTAAAAATTCTTTAATGTGATAGACTATTGAAACCTCAAGATAGGGATACTATCTTCTCTATCTTGTTTTGCAACAATGTTCCTATATAGTCATAAAAAATAAATTAGAACCTTGTATATTGGAAGAGGCCTTTTTTTAATTATTCACAGGTAGCATGTACATTAGTAGTTCCAAATCCATCAAACCTGATTTGTTCTTTTTTACAATACATTTTTATTTGGTAAATGGTCTAGTTTTAAAGGAGAAGTAAGTGTAACTGTTAGTACAATTAAGTATATAAGTACATTCAGTGTGTAGATGTTAACCAGAGACAGCAGTAGAGGACAAACTTAAGTGGCCTGATACAGTACTCGTGTGTTTCGGCATGATGAGACAACTTCAGCTGCAGGGTACAGGCATATTATGTGAGAGTCTCCAGATAAAATAGTTGAATTGGTCCTGTTTATTCATGGTTTCCATATTTGTGAACTTACCTGCTGGCTGAAATGTATTTGTAACCCCAGTCACCTTCAGCCAGCGACTTTAGTTGCTACAGCAGCATGTCCCCAGGCAAGTGGAGGCCTTGTTGTACTCTCCCAGGGGGATGGAGGAAGTGGGGCCTTGTAGTCGGGTGCAGGGAACTCTGGCCCATAAGGCCAGTTGGACTCCAGCTGTGACACCTGTTGGTGGGGCAGCCTCAGGCAAGCTGAGGTTTCTCTTTTGTAAAATAATGCAAATAGAATCTACTAGGACATGTTTTTAGGATTTTAATGTGGTACGGTACATGTCTGCATATATATGTCTGTATTTTCCCAGTAGTAGTGGTTCAGTATTTGCTAATTCTGTGTATGGAGCAACTTTGTAGACTATCCCTACCACAAAGAACTGACTATAGAATATTTCCTCTACCTACGTGGTAGTTCTCTCTTATGAAAAAAAACAAACAATGAACATTTAAATTGTATTAAAAAGTCTTTGATCTATACATAAAATGAAGTCAGTTTTAAAACTTATAAACAAATTATCCCCCTATGTGAGTCGGGCATGACACTGTGACAGCTGACCAGGATTGCTGTGGGAGATTGTTTTGTGCACTGTAGGGAACCTCTTACCCCTGGTTCCTGGCCAGCGGTGCTCCTGCACCTTTGTGAGGATGGAGGATTCCTCCCTGATGGTGGAGTTCCTTTGGGGAACAGTTGGTCTACCTGATTAACCTCAGGATTGGCTCAAAAAGCAATTGAAGACAATAGTCCTCACTTACATAAAGTATATTTGAGAATTGTTATTCCTGTGTGCTATCAAACTCAGTTTCAGGCATGAATAGTGGTTACAGTTGTACAATGATTTGAATATACTTAATATCCTTGAACTTCACACTTAGAAACAGTTAAAATAGAACATATGCATATATTTATAAAACCACAATAAAAATTTTTTAAATGTAAAAAAAGTTCAGTTATAACATCAAGTGAATACTATATATTTGGATCTAGCACATTGCTGTGTTATCCTAGTAATAGTACATATTACTTGTCACAGTGAGTGTTACTGAAATATCGTGAAGAAGTCATCCACAGTAGTGACATGACAAAGAAGTAGAATTAAACAGAAGAGTACAACGAGTGGCTTTAGGAAGGACTGGAGAGCTCCAGCTAGAGCAGGCTTTGGTAAGGACGTATCGCCCTAATTACCTATGTATGTTCATCAGTTTCTTTCAAAAGTTAGCAAAGTTTTTGGTAGAGAGGAGTGGCTTGGAAACATTATTTCAGAATTAATACAGAAGAGTCAGTTCTCTTAAAAAGAGTAGTACTGGACTGGGGTGCAGCACAGTGGTGGAACACTTGCCTAGTGTGTGCCAGGCCTTGGGTTCAAACCCCAGTACTGCAAAAGCAGAGTAGTTACATAGTCCGGTGCAGTGGCATATGTCCGTAATCCCAACTAAGGAAGCTGAGGCAGGATTTGAAAGTTTGAGGCCAGCCTAGGCAACTAAATAAGACCCTGTCTCTAAAAGAGACAAAGTGTGATACAGACGAAACATGAAAAGGTATTTACCTATCTGTTAAGAATTTAGTGTTCTATGGAACAGACCATAGAGGTCAGAAACAAATTTAACATAAATGAGCATTCAGAACATTATAGTGAGGGAAGGATTAACTGCTGAGAAAATAAAGTTAGAGCCTTACTGATCCCATGTACCAATATTCATACACATTAAACCTTTAACATTGAAAAGAAAACTACAAAAGCTGGAACCAGTGAATGTTTCTTTACTGTGAGGATGAGGTGAGCCTCTCTAAATTTGGCATAGATCATAACTTAGCTATATATAATTGAAAAATGTTATAACCAAAATTACCATAAAGTTAAAAGGTAGAGGGCCGAGGATTTAGCTCAGTGGTTCCAGCGCCTGCCTTGCAAGCACAAGGTCCTAAGTTTGATCCCCTGTACCCCCCCCAAAAATGATGGAAAAGTTAAAAGGTAGATGACAAATATGAACATTTTTGTAACACATAGAAACAATGAACAATACATAACTGTCATCTGTATACAACATACTCTTTCAAGGTTACATTAAATAGACAAACTCACCAGTTAAGACAAGAACGTGAAGGGTATTTGATTAATGAGAAAATCCAGTGGGCAGTAAGCATATGAGCAAATATTTCCCTTCATTAATGAACAAAGAAATATAAACGGAATTTTTTAATCATCTTTTTCAAAACCAAAAGGAAATTAAAACACTCATGGTTGAGTGAGACAGAAATGATCTGTGCTTTTTTTTTTTTTCCTCCATTTTTTGAGACAAAGTCTTACAACTCCAGGCTGGCCTTGAACTCAGGTAGCCTAGGCTAACTTCACACTTGGAGCAGTCCTCCTGCCTATGCCTACAACAGGCGTGCACCATCACACCCAGCTAGATCTGTAGGAGTACAGCATGTTAATCTTTCCAGGAAGTAATTTGACAGTGTCTATCTAAAGCTGTAAGAATGTTCCTTTTTTTTGGTACCAGGAATGGAACTCGGGTCGTTGCGCTTGCGCAGCAGGTGGCGAAACCACTGAGCTAAATCCCCGGCCTGTTCTTTTCATTTTTATCAGCGGTTCTACTTCTAGAAATTTACTGTACAAAAATAATTAAGCCTTAATAAGATGATTTCATTCTAAACCATGACATTATCATATAAAAACTGCAAATAAGCCAGGCATGACAGTGCATACCTGTAATTCCACCCCTCGGGAGGCTGAGGCAGGAGGATGACTGAGCTGGAGGCTAGCCTGGGCTCCATGGTGGGTTCAAGACCAGCACAAACTACAGTACAAGATACTGTTTCTAAAACAAAAAATCCTGCAGATAACTTAGATTATCCTATAAGGGATTGGTTAGATTATCCTATAAGGGATTGGTTAGGTATAGTGAGTCAGTATACACACACACACACACACACACACATGCACACTGTTATGATTTTATTACATATATGTTCATAGAAAAGTCAAAAAGAAATGCAAAAGGATGACAAGACTAACTCTGGATTTATGGATGCTTTTAGCTTTTCTTCATTTGTTTAGTTACATGTTCTGGGTTGTTTTGTTTTGGTGTTAGGGATTGAACTCAGGCCCTGATGCACACTAAGCAATACTGTACCACTGAATATACCTGACAGCAAGTATATTGTTTATATAGTAAAATATTATAGGTAATAGCAAAATTTTAACGTGGACCTCTTATTGTAACTGGATGTGTAGGTTGGGGTTAAAGAGCATTTGATCCAAAAAGACCTGAAGTTGTGCCCCAGCCTTGCCATACTTGTTGACTAGGGCAAGTTCATTCTTCTAAACTTATTTCTACTTTTTTTCTTCTTCCTCCTCCTCCCTCCTTCTTCTTCTCTTCCTCCCCTGCCCTTTTCTCCTTCTCTACCCCCTCCTCCCCTCTTTGTTTCAGGGTCACTATTACCCAGGCAGGTCCCAAACGTGTAGGCAAAAATGGACCTTCCACCTCAGCCTCCTGAGTAGCTAGGGCTACAGGCATATACCACCACACCTGGCTTAAATCTGTTTCTTTAACTCTAAAAACTTAGGATGATAATAGTAGTATAGTTAACTACTTTGTAGGGCTACTACAGTGATCAAAGAATTCATCTAAGAACTGAAGCTCAGGGCTTGGCACTTTAGGAAGTACTCATTAAGTAGTGGTGGTGTGCTAGCAATAGCAATAATAATTGAAGTTTTGGCTTTGACTTACTTGCTTTGGATCACAGATTATCTGTTATATAGTTATATAGATGTTTAATGTCAGTTTTTATACATTTATAAAATGGAGTAAGATAGATCATTTTCTTAGCTGTTATAACCAAACTGGACTTGCTAATTACTCTTATTGTATAATCCTTAGTTGAGTTTAAGTGTATGAGTTAGGTAAGTCCTGTCCCTAGCCATCTTCCATCAGTATTCTATTACAGCAGTCTCCTCCAGCTTTTACCACAATTATTATTTATTCCTTTTTTGTTTCTTACCAGTGTTTGCCATTAGGCTAAAATTCCCAATAGGGATAAAAACTCTGTCTTGTTGACCATTAATTTCCCGGTGCCAAGACCAATACCTAAATATGATAGGTCCTCAGCAAGTATTTGTTGAACTTCTGAATTGTCCTGGTTTGGAATAATGGGCTTCAGTCCTAATGGCTGGCAGGACTGTGTTACTGAAAGAGATATGTAAACATGTCTGGACTAGTAACAGGACTACAATTATCATGACAGCAAGAGTGGGTAGAGTGTTGTCTAGCATGCATGAGGTCCTGGGTCCATCCCTAATATTGGAAAAATAAAAGCAAAACAAAAAGTGGGTATTTAGGTTGAATTCCCTTTATATTATAGAAAGCAAATTCTACTTAAGGTCCTGTTAACTTCACATTTACTTTAGAAAGAAAGGTTTTGGTAAGCAAACAAGATGGCATTTCTGGGCCAGGGATTTAGCTCAGTGGCACTGCACCTGCTTTGAAAGTGCAAGGTCCTGAGTTTGATCCCCAGTGCCTACCCCGCATAAGATGGCATTTCTAAGGACACCTGTGTGATCTATGATAGTTTTCCTTTTTATAAGTAAAATTGGATCCAGGTAATATTTTGTAATATAAACCTGCAGAATATGAACATTTGCAGATTGTTTTTTTATTTTTGGCTCCTTTCTCTCAGGTTCACAGTTAACAGAAGAATCTCCATAGTTGGATTTGGCTTATATGGATCTATCCATGGTCCCACAGATTATCAAGTGAATATACAGGTATACTTTTTCCTCCATTATTTACAAACAGATGTACAAGACTACAATAAAATATTGTCTTGATAGAAATCCGTATTCCAATATAATTGTCAAAGGGATCGGGAAGGCCATTAGTAGCATTTTAAGCCTGGAAATTCACTATTAAAAATTTTAAACCTGGTTTCAAAAAATTGAGGTCCTTTCCAGACGCCTTAGCATAACAGGAGTTCTCCTTGTCCAGGAAACCCCTGCTGTGTGTTAACTGTCTTAAAGTACCTTTTGCCTTTCTCATGGTACTTTGAACTTTAGGACCTGTCTCCTTACTTCAAACTGCTAGGGAACCACTTCCACCTGGGAGTGTCTGACCAGACCTGCCTCATGCTTTAGGTCTGCTGTACCTCCTTTCAGAGCAGGCACAAGTTACCTAACCAGGAAGGAAGTCAAACACCTCTCCTCCCGCCTTCCCTTCAATAAACCAGTGTTTTCACTGCTCTTTATTGCAGACCCTAATTAGTAGAATTTTTTGAAAAGATATCTATATTATATTTTTATTTATAAACTATATGAAATGTATGTTTATTTTATACAAAATTAAAACATGAAAAATATGAGAAAAGTAAGTAAATGATTAAGACTTTACCAACCAAAAAAGAAAACACCTGGGCTCTATAAAATGTTAGTATATTATTTTTAATAGTTAAAGCTTTGATAAGCCTTGTAATCAAAATGCTTTATTAGTTTTTAACGCATTCACAGCAGGGCCTTGCTTGTCTATAAGGCTGAAGCAGGAAGATCACAAGTTCAGGCCCAGCCTGAGTGACTTAACATGTTCACGTGTCTCACGTTCATATGTCTCACTGCCAGGAGGCTCTGAATCACTGGTGGTACCTGCATGACTGTCCCATTGGGTGGTACAAACTGCCTGATGGGGCAGCCATGCATGTACCTCTGGTGGTTCAAGCTGCAGGAATGTGTTAAAGTGAGACCCTGTCTCAAAATAAAAAGTAAAAAAAAAAAATTTTTAAAGAGCTGAGAGGTAGCTCTGTACAAAGTACTGCCAAAAACAGATCCATAAAATCTAAACGGTGTGATCAAAGTAAACAGCAGAGCTCTGTTCATTTTGTCCCCCATGGCCAGTCTCATGCCTATTCCAGATATGCTGTTTGTCACCACTACTTATATGTTAGTTACTTTTCTCGTTGCTGAGACAAAATACCCAACACCCAAAGTTAAAATAGGAATGGTTTGGCCAGGGATTTAGCTCAGTGGTTCCAGTGCCTGCCTGGCAAACGCAGGGTCCTGAGTTTGATCCCCGGTTAAAAAAAAAAGGGGGAGGTGGGGAAGGCTTATTTAGCTTACAGTTCATAGAGGTTTCAGTCCATAGTTGGCTGGCTTCAGGGCAGAGTGGCACATGGTGAGGGACATCTCAGAGGAGAACCACAGTTCATTACTCCCACAAGGTAGCAAAAACAACAAGAGATTTTAACAGCGTCTTTCTGCCCCTTTTATCCAGACTACTGGGATTGGGGCTGTGCCAAACCAATCAGTGGACTGATTTAGCAGTCCACACCCTTAATCCCAGGGTCACACACTCTTGATTCAGCCACCTATGACTGCATGAAGCTTTGGGAAGACATCTAGACATAAACCGTAACAGTCTGTTCCCTTGTGTCCGAAGTGGCCAACTCAAATGCCAACCAGGGCATAGGCAGATCATTTAAATAGAAGCCAAAGGCCTGGTATAAGAGACAATGGGGGTAGGGGAAAAGGAGTTGTGGGATATGGAATATTTAAAGGGCAGCCACTCCTTAGCTCTTGGCAGCAGCAGTTACAATGTGATAATAAAAGCCTAAGGATGTCCAAGAAGCCAGAAGTGAAGGTTTTTATGTGAAATCTCTCCAGGATCCATTTTTAAGCATTGACCAATAATTTGATATCTTTAGAATCACCAACACCATGCAGGTTATATAAAGGCAGCCTGAAGCTAAAACAGGAGTATATGTTAGAAGGATCTAGAGGGCTTCTTCTTGCCTGCCTGGGTCTATACCCCTGAGAAATGAGATAAAGGAAGTGAAGCCAGCATGATAAAAGTAGCAGGTTGAGCACTGCCAAGATGGCCTTCCGTTGTGAAAGTGCCTCGTCTCCATCTCTTGTTTCTTGGAGAGCCACTTGTGCGTAAAAAAGAGCCATGTCCTTCTTAAGACACAGCTGTGGCTTAGTCCTCAGTATTAGGTAACAGTGCCAACATCTCATGTTCTAGCAGGCTGGACATGCTGGCCTTGAAGATTCGGAAAGCCGCCGCCAAACCACATCCACTACCACTAGCTCTGGAGACCATAAGGAAAGATGGCAAATTCCCGGGGTTCTAGCATCTGTGTTGTTTAATGATCTTTTTCTTGCATGTCAACTTCCATTAGCCCAGAATGGAAGTGTCCAGAAGCTCCTGGAGGCCCTGGGTGCTCACCTGGTGCTGGGCACAAGGCGAGAACTAAAGTGAAAAGACAAATTTTACATTTTGAACATTGACAAACATACTGCTTTAAACTCATTTAAAATTCCAGTAAATAACATTGAAACACAAGAAATGTTATGGGAATTTTCCTAGCGTCAACCATAGGCTAGCAAGGAGTAAAGGCCCACTTCCCTCAGACATGGAAAATGTGCACATTCTGGAATCTACACCACAGCAGCTCCCCTCTCTGCAGCTGAGCCTGGGTTCTTCACATCTTCCTCATCCTCACTGTGACAAATGAGAAATGGCCATTTTCTGGCAGCATGCCTGAAGCCATCTTTGGTGGTTAGAAGTAAAAAGAAAAATAAGGTTTAGTAGTCTGTTCTGCTAGTTTTAAGGGCTTCATATGCTTCTCTGTAGAATTTTATTTCAAGTGGTTTAATTTAATGTATCTTCTCTTTTAAAAATTACAGATCATTGAATATGAAAAAAAACAGACCCTGGGACAAAATGATACTGGGTTTAGTTGTGATGGGACTTCTAACACATTCAGAGTCATGTTTAAGGAGCCTATAGAAATCCTGCCCAATGTGTGCTACACAGCATGTGCAACACTCAAAGTAAGGCGTGCAGAGCATTCTAGGGCTGTGCATGTTGGGCCTGTGGGTTTCTCTTTGTGTGTGAGTGCGCGTGCATGTGCATGCACTGGGAATTGAGCTACATCTCCACCCTTTTTTTTTTTTTTTTAAGAGTAGGAAAAATTTATTCAAAGAAAGTTTCTCTCTTTAAGAGAGAAAGAAGGGGGACCAGAAAGTGGGTTGCCCACCCACCCCACTTTTCAAAGATGTTTTATGCAGCAAAGCTTGTGGTGTGGTGGGTACAAAGTGGGACAAAACTCTAAGATCCAATGGAAATTTACAAGGTGGGCATGAGGTAGGGCAAACCATGACCACCAATAAGATATATTTATTTTGAGACAGAGTTGCACTAAGTCACTAAGTTAATCAGGCTGGGCTCGAACTTGTGATCTTCCTGTGTCAGCCTCCCTGAGTGCCAGGATCCACAAGAGTGTGCACCATGCCCAGGCCATGGTTTCCTCTTGAATGTTGCAGAAAGCATGTTTTAGAAGCATACAGGTCACTCATAGTAAAACTTTTAGAAAGGAGTGGGGAGGCTGTACTAAGAAAAGCAGTGCATCTCAGCACTGCTCTGTTCTGAAAGGTTTTGCATAAGGCGCCCTTTGTTCAAGTAGTACATTAAACATTTACAGAAGACAAAATACTGTTCCTTTAAAACCTTTTCAGTATTCTCTAATGGCTGAGCTCTACATCTTGTATTTTTACTTATTCAGTAGCTCTTTAGCAAAAATTGCATTTTTCATGAAATTATTTAGCATAAGATTTTATATAGGAGGCCGGGGATTTAGCTCCGTGGTTTCACCGCCTGCTGCGCAAGCACAAGGATCTGAGTTCAATCCCCGGCACACACACACAAAAAAGATTTTATATAGGAGCTATAATTAATATAATAGACCTTTAATCTAATTACACTAAATTAACTTGAATGCTTAATAAATGAAAATTGCTAATGAACCTTTGTTTCTGTTTAGGGTCCGGATTCCCACTATGGCACAAAAGGGCTGAAGAAAGTTGTGCATGAGACACCTGCCGCCAGCAAGACCGTTTTCTTCTTCTTTAGTTCCCCTGGCAACAATAATGGCACTTCAATAGAAGATGGACAAATACCAGAAATAATATTTTATACATAATTTAGCATTATAATACATCTTGGCTAAATAGTACCTACCACACAATCTAGACTCAGACATATAAATAACTGGCCACAGAAAAAAGTTTGAGTATCAAGAATATTTATGATTGGGCTGGGGATTTAGCTCAGTGGTTCTGGCGCCTGCCTCGCAAGCACAAGTTCCTGAGTTCGAGCCCCAGTACCAGAAAAAAAAAAAAAATTTATGATTGTAAGATAAGAAACATTTTAGTTTCTTAGAAGAAATAGAAAAATGTTTATTTAAATCTCTGCATGATTTAAAGGCATATTTTCCACTTTTTTGTCACCTTAGGGGAATAGAGGTAGGTTTGTGTAAAAAAAATGCGGCTGTTTCAGCTGCTTCCTGTATCATTTCGTTGTCAACTGACTCATGGTCTTTCAGTAGTTTTGGAATTGAAAGATTCTTGTTACACGTAGCCAGTCTGGTTTCTTTATTTTTAATTTTTGAAAGTAGATGAGATAGGTCAGTATTCTTGCAGAATTCCTATTAAGTCAAATAACTAATTTCAGAAAATTAGGAAAACTGGCTTTATATTTGAGATTTAAAAATATCTGCTAGCTAACATTTGGAATAATGCTAAAAATAGGCCTAATAATGCCCAAGAAAATTTTCAGTTTTTCTATTCACAGAAAAGGATATTTTGTAATAGTATAGTAATGCAGTACATAGTATAGTGTTCAAACTAAATGGATTTTGTATACATTCACAATAATGTGGTATATACAAAGTCTCTAAAGGTGTGACATAAGCCTGGATCTTTATTTATCATTCAGCTGTATCACCATACCTGCCTGTCTGTCTGGGGTGCTGCTGATGAGTCCCAAGACTGAGCTGATGGTGGTGACTAATGATTGTTTAAAGATACTGCTTCAACTGTGTGATCATCCCACAGAGCAAGAAATGGAACACGGTTACTAACATTTCTAACAGCTACTTTGAAATTATAAAGCTATCCAACAGAGTCACTCCTGCCAAAAAGCTTTCTATCACATAGTTCTATTCAAGAAGTAAAATATGTTTAATATTTGTGACCTCATGAATGTGACCAGCACATCTATATTAGGAGGAAGTAGGAAATACATACAGTAGAGTGACATTTATACACTTTTATATACAGATTTTTAAAATACAACTTTTCCCTTGAAAGTGACTATCCTAAAAAAACTTGTGTAGTTTAAGCGTAAAATATATCAGATATTTGTGGATGATAAAAAAATTCTTTCAGAATCAAGAGAAATTTTGTAAATAGGAAGTAAAAATTTTTCATCAAAAGTACTATTTCATTATACATTTTTAACAAGGTAGTAAGATGTGTTGATGGCCATGGTCTCTTGAAATTGAAGAAAAGGGAAAATTTTCTGTCTCGTGTACCATGTCCTTATGGATATAACTCACTTTACGGGAATATCTATGGAACGTGTGGTTCTGGTTAACTAAAGATTAACTGGCAAACATTCGGTAGTAACCATTACCAAAATACTTCCGCCTTTTAAAATGTGGTATGCCAGAGATAAGTTAGAGATTTTGGGGTTTGAGGCATTTCACGTGCCTTCTGTGTTATACTGAACACTTGTAACTGAAAGTAGCCATAGAAGGTACATACTAGAAACAACTCTACTGACATCAGGAAATCACCTGAAACTTTACAAAAATAAATGTATATTATCCTTTGTTTAGTTTGTCATTTGTCCTTCTAAAAGTTGAATGTAAGACACCATTGTGGAACAAAGGTTTTAGTTAATTGGGGTTTGTTTTTAATTTACAGAAGTAATGAAACAAAATAATGCATTACTTCTGCTGGAAACAAGTCATAGGAACTGCAGCAGTGTAACAATCATCTCACGATTGCTTATTAGTAATTACAGTAACCTGAATGACTGCTATGCATCCGGCTGTGTGATGTGTACTTTATATGCACTGAAACAGTGGTATTAGGATTATTACAATACCAGCTTTATAGGCACATTGTTTTATTATTTGGAGCTGTAAAATTTTTACTTTGATTTTAACTTTAATCTTTGGAGACAAGGTCTTGTTATGTAGTTCAGGCTGGCCTGAACTCGCTTGATCCTCCTGCCAACAGCCTCCTAAGTGCTGGAATTAACAGTCGTGCCAACATGCCCACCTTTTAAAATTTTCATTAGTACATGTTTTCAGTACATAATGATTATACTTGTGAGGAGTTGGTACAGGTTCATAACACATCTTCGTTTTTCATCCCCTTCCTCTCCCCTCTCCCACTCCCTCCATCTCTTGGTCCCCTTTTGCAAAAGATCTCCCTATCTCTTTTATACTTTCGGTGTATGAAAAACCTTTTGATATTTAAACTTAGATGCCTGGTTTGTTTGACTTAACCTTATGGGTTCAAGGTACATCCATTTTCTTACAAATGGAGCAAAAATTTGGGGGGGGCGGTACTGGGGATCAAACTCAGGACCTTGCGCTTGCAAGGCAGGCAGCAGAACCATTGAGCTAAATCTCAGGCCCCAAATGACACAAATTTATCTTTTATAGCAGTGTGGTACTCCATTATGTATAAATACATTTTTAAAACTCCACTTATTGATGGACATTTAGGCCACGCCCAAGGTGCATTATAAGTTGTGCTGCTATAAACATGGGTATGCATGTATCATTGTAATGTTTTTAACTCTGGGGAAGATACCTAAAAGAATAGCTGGGTTGGATGGGATTTCTCATTTTGGGTTCTTTTGAGGAATCTCCATACTGATTTCCATTAAGTGGTTGTACTAGTCTACATTCCCACCAACAATGGAGAGGCGTTCCTCCACCTCCTGAAACCCCATCAGCAGTTATTTATTTCTGGATGATAGCCATTCTTTCTGGAGTAAGATCTAATCTGTTTTAATTTGCATTCCCGTAAAGGCCAGAGGAGATGAACATTTTTTTTTCTGTATTGGCCATTTGTACTTCTGAGAAATGTGTTTGTTTGGATTTATTGATTGGATCTTTTAGGAGTCTAATTTTTAATTCTTTACATATTTTAGATATTAGTCCTGAGGAGTAGCTGGCAAAATTCCCATTCTGTAGGTTGTCTCTTCACTGTTGGATGTTTGCTTTGCTGTGTAGAAGCTTTTTGATTTCATAGAATCCCATTTGTCGATTCTTGATGTTATTTTTTAGGCAACTGGGGTTCTGCTCAGAAAGAATCTATGACCACAAGAGTTTTACGTATTTTATTTGCCAGCAGGTTAAACTTTTCTGTTTTAACATTTAGATATTTGATCCATTTTGATTTTAGTTTAGTACATAGAAATATGGGACTAGATCCAATCTGCGCGTGGATAGCCAGTTTTCCCGGCACCATTTGTTAAGGAGGTGATCTTTTCTCCAGTGTACATCTTTGGCCCCTTTGTCAAAGACCAGGTAGCTGAGTGAAGTTATTTCTGCATGCTTAATTTTGATCCATTGATCCACATGTCTGTTTTTGTACCTGTACCATGGTGTTTTATCACTGTAGCTTTGTAATATAACTTGAAATCTGAGATTGTGATACCGCTTGCTTTGCTCTTGCTTAGGACTGCTTTTGCTAATCTAGGTCTCTTCTGGTTCCATACAAATTTTAGGATTGTTTTCTCTAGTTCTGTGAGGAGTGCTGTTGGTATTTTGATTGGTATTACATTAAATCTGTGTATCAGTTTTGGAAGTATGACCATTTTGACAATGTCAGTTCTCCCTATCCAGAAACATATCCTTCAATTTTCTGATGCTCTTTTCTATCTCCTTTTTTAGAATACTATAGTTTTCATTGTAAAGGTCTTTTATTTTCTTGGTTAGGTTACTTAAGTACTTAATTTTTCTTGATGATACTGTGAATGGTAGTGTTTTCCAAATTTCTTTCTTGGTGAGTTCATTATTTTTTTAGAGAACATTTGATTTTTACATGTTGTTACATTGCTAAATTTGGTTATTCTAGGAGTCTTGGTAGAATGTCTTGGTCTTTTATGTAAAGGATCATGTCATCTGCAAATAATGATAATTTTACTTCCTCTTTTCTTATATGTATCCCTTTTCTTTTGCCTGACTGCTCTGATGTTTTGAGTAGACATTCCTTGTTTAATGACCAAGTTATGTTCCTGCAATTGGGTTAGTAAATGAATTGGTCGCCAAATGAGGAATATAATGTATGTATTATATAGTATTACACAATATTCAGAACAAAGAAATGGTCAAAAGGAAACGTCAATTTGATGACTTTGCTTTTATTTGCATAACTGTCCCGGCCCGCGGGTAAGTCAACGGAGACCCTAGAGGGGGAGCGAGGATGAGAGGGGACAGGGGACACGAGAGATGGAGACAAGACAGGTTTCTGATCAAGTCTCGTTTATTACGGAAGCTGCTACAACATATATACCGTAGGGCGAG